GTGGTTTAAATATGAAATGAAAACATAAAATAACTCGTAACTCGTAACAAAAGCAGCTTAAGAAACCATCAATATATTGACTGAACAACGCTAACGAAACTAAACGCAAAAACCACAAGCTGAACAAGAGACGCCGACAAGAAGCTTGGCATTCGCGAAATGGCGATAGCAACAATGTAAGTCGCATTTGAAACAATCCACTGAATGAAAGCTGTTGCCATCAACAGCAGCGCCATGTTTTTGTTTGTTTTTTGTTTGCCAAGAATTCATTGCATACTTTTGTGCGCGGCCGGCAAATGACATTTGCAATGAGAAGAAAATTGCGCCATAAACTTTGTTTTCTTATTTGATTTTTAAGGTTTTTTCGTCGCACACTTATCAAATTACAGGGTTAGAACTTTGTGACTTTTGCATTTGAATCGCGGCTGCAGCCATTTGGTTTCTATACACTTCCACACGGTATACTAATTTGGTCGTGAAATCGGAGTAAATATCTCTATAGTGCATATCTTCAGGGAATAATATCTATAATTTGTAGAAATTGCATAAGCTGTTAAGAAAATTCGTCTATTCATGTCAAGCAGGGTATATACAAGTTGAACAATATATTTTGTTAGCTTTTGCCATTTTGCCATATTGCTGCTTATTTTGGGTGGATAATGTTGTCAACAGCGGAGTTGAAAAAGTTTTATTCTACCTTTGCGCGGCATCTACTCTATGCGAGCATCACAATAAAAAACAACAAGTTATTACCATTGCTTTTAGTAGTTTTTATAACTTTTACGACTTTTTAATAAAGTTGCAATGCATTTCCTTGCCGCAAGGTTGGCTGCTGCCGCTGCCACGGCCGCTGCTGTTGGTTGCAGTTTGAACCGAAGACAAAGTTTCATAGCTCGTGGTTGCCTCGTGGGCAGAGTGGATGGATGGGAGCAGTTAGTGAATGTTGCTTGTAATTTAAGCGACACACAGTCACCCACAATGTGACATGGACTCTTGGCAAGTACGACACACATGTTGTCGCTGCATTTAAGGCTTAAAGACCAGCTCGCTGACGGCCTAAGCCCAAACCACAAAAGACAAACAGCAAACAATAGTTCGGCAGCAGGCCATACCCAACCAGAACCTAATAATTACAACTTTCCAGTGGTAAGAATGCTAATTTGTCAAATACACACACAAACACACCATGGAGCAGTTGCTTGCGATTACTCGAATGTTGGCCAAAAGTTTGGCTTGCAATTGCAACTATAATAATAATAACAACTACCAACTGTAAAGTCTGCTTGCCAAATACATTTCCCATCACTTTTGTTTGCTTATATTCCTCATACGCCCCGCGCTCCCATCTCCCACTACACATTTCACTGCTGTCCGCTGTTGTAACTTTTGCCCACTTTTGTTACATTTTACGATTTGGCCACAAAATGTCAAACCGAAACCAAAAGTTATGTGTAAATTATATGCATGCCTTTACTTGTTTGTACACTGTGTGTGTTGTTGTTGTTGTTGTGCGTGTGCTTTTTGTTTTTCTTTGCTGCATGAGAGAGAACAACTAAATGCATTTGACGGGCTTGAAAGTCAAGCGTTCTGCGCATAAACTTTGATTTTTATTGCAATGCTTTGCAGCTCTTGGGGATTTTGCGTTTTGCATTTACTTCCGTTGGAGCTACATTAAAATAGAACAGAAACTCCTTTTGACAAGCTGCTCTATCTGATTTTTGTTATTTTTTAAGGAAAAGGGCATCCGTCAACAAGTCTTCATATCGTATGCTAACGCTTAGCAACCAAAGTCGACTTCCACGAATCATTTATTATTATTGTACGCTTCGGGGAAAACTCTGAGTTTTTATTTCCACCAGATTGGGTTTGTTTTACAAAGTATAATGGTTTGCTTTTTAAATCAAAGCACTGCTTTGCATCCTTTCTTCAAAGTTTGCACGCACTTTGGTTAGAACAAAAGTTCTGCTTAAAGTAATAATTGCGCTTGCGGTATCGTGCACACACAGACAGACACACTTACACACACACAGACACACACACACACGCACACACACAGACATACTCAGACACATGTCTGCTATACGCTATGGTTTTAACAGGGCACTTAAAGGACGCGCATAAGGATCAACGCATCGGCAGCTGTTGCGGCTTCGCTGAACGCTTGAGGCGAAGGGCGTGACGCTGAAAACCGCAGCCTGCAACACATTAGCAGCAGCAGCAGTAGCAGCAGCAGCCGCTATAATAAGACAGCTCGTTTGTCTCACTCCGCCTCCCTCTCTTCGTCCTTAGCCGCTTGTTAACTTTTGCTCATTTGTGCATAAGCGCCCTAAATGCATAGCCCTTCGCACAGACAGAGGATGCAGGTGCTAGCAAAGTTTCAACACGGTTATAAGTCAACTTAACAAGTGGCAGTAAACGCATCTCATTTTGCCGCCTGGGCAAGTTTAAAAACGGAGAGACTGCATCTCCTGAAATTGAACAGAATATGGCAGCAATATTAAGTAAATAATATATATTTCACTTACAGCTGTAGCCAACACCCGACAACTAAAGTAATTAAAAAACTTTGCCATGAACAAGAATGCGATGAAAATGAGTACCTCGATTCAGCTCGAAAGCTTCTTTTAATGAGCATTTAAAAGAATATCGGAGCATACTAATAATAAATACATTTGAGTGTATCCAGCGTGTCTGTTACAACGAGCTTAACTTGCAAACGGCCGTCGATTATCGCTGCCAACTCATTGATGGTCTTTTAAATTACAAAAATTAACGAAGTTTTATATTCAACTGTATTCCGAGAAAAACATTTCTGCTTGCAAATACAACTTTTAATAAAAACTGTGTTTCAAACAGCACAGCTGACAGTACGGACACGGCGAATCTGCCTCTCTGCAAATGAATATCGATGGAATTCAAATTTTGGCTGAGTATAAAAAGTACTCGATAAAAACATATTTAAATTATATGAAAACAATGTGAAATCTGAGCTGTTTCATAATTCGTATTCATATTGGAAGTGATTTCTTAAATATATTTATTTTTCGAGTAAAATAGCTGCTTGATTTAATGAGATATGTGATTTGCTGATGATTATTAATTTTAAAATGAAATTGAATTGTTATGAATAAAGGGAAATTGAATCTAAACTGTTTCTCAGAACACAATTGAGTAACTGTAGCGTGTATCGTTACCCGCATTGAAGTAGTTTCACATTTTACACATTCACATGTACGGGTAAATATATATATATGTCTGAGTGGGCGTGGCATGCCAAAGGGCTGATGGCCGCTTAAAGTGCATGCCAATCAGGTTTTGCGCCCATCAATGAAATGTAATTTCATTAAAAAACCATCGACAGTCAAAATGTGAATGTGTTGTTCGTTGGCAGTTCTACGTGTATAGTTAGCACAAAATTGGCAACGGCTTAAAATTGTCACCACAAATTTTGGTTCGGAAATTTAGCAGTTTAGCTGTTTTGCATTTTGCATTAGTTAAATACATGCAAATTTCCAACTGTCAAGCTGTCAATGCTCAAAATGATTGCTACAAATTGTCAGCATAGAACTGTTACGAAGCTCAATCGAAATGCCTGACAATCAAATATGCTCGAGCGTAATTTAGGTAATTACTCAATGGTATTGATGTACTCGCACATTGCGTGTCGGAAATACCTGTGGTCATATCCGGTGCAGCGACAACAAAGTCAAACGGAGCTCGTAATGATATCAATTCAGGGTAAGTGCGAGGCTAAAGAGCTATATTACACAGATGTATCTACATAATGATTTCTGTACAAATAAATATGCCATATTGTGTTCAATTCACTCTACAAACATTTTATGTTTGTGATATAACATATTTAGAAATAAAGAAAATACATTTCCATCGATTGTCAATTAATTTCAAGCCCCAAGTCAGCAGCTCGTTTCTTTCTCAAATGATATAGAAAAAGAAAACTTCAATTATTGGCTTCTGTTTCGATACTCTAATGTGATTCGTGGGCGCCATTCAAACTCACTCTCTTTTTCAATTGTGGCCTCGATTCTAGCGAAGTGCAAAGTGTGAGCATCAAAGACATTTGGCTCGGCTTCCTCGCAAGTCGCAAGTTCCTGCTGCTGCTGCTGTGTGTCGCTGCCTCAATCAATTTCAATTTATCAATTTTTACAATCATCTGATTTTATCAATTTTATGGCGCATTTTAAGACCGCACACATAGACAGACTCGGGCAGTGGGCTGCGGTCCCGATGTGCCCACGAAGAAAAGGACATGCTAAGGAAATTCGACTGACATCGACACATCGAGAGGAGGAAGAGAAGGAAGTGAACGGATCCACACAGTCACATGTCAATAAAACCAACAAATGCCGCTGGTACTCGGCAACCACTTGCCTTCTGCCATTTCTGCTGTTTTTACTTATTCCATTTGCTCACTCCATTTTCCCTTCTCCCTTCCCATCCCTCTCTCTTCTACGTATGCAAATAAGCAGTTTACAGACATTCTTTTATTGTTATTGCTATGCATGTGCGTGTTAGTTGTTGCGGTTTCCCTTATGTAACCTATTTTACTTGCCTTTCGCATTTGTTGGCTCTGTTTCTGTTTTGCGTGGGACACACTCAATCTTGGGCAACTGTGGAGCTTTGTGGAACTTTGCTTATTATTCATACGCCATGTTGAAGCCTAAAGCGCTTAATAACCTGGCAACGCTTTAATATCACATTTACTTATTAAATAACTTTTGTTTCCATTTTTTTTCTGGCTGAAAGACCATTTGTCTGGTCAGCTTTTCAAATTTAATCAAAAGTTATGATAATCTAATCCAATGTAAAATTCGCTGTGTTCTGCAATCCGATTTCAACTTGATTTATGTAACTCCGGCATTATAAATGAACAATTCAATGGCTTTTTAAATGAAATACAATTCGTGTATTGAAAAAATCTTCATTATGTTGTAAATATAAATTTCGTTACGAATACTTGTTCATACAAAAACAGTCCTGTATCCGGATGTCTAATTTTAATGAAATTAGCATGAAATGGAAACTGAAAACAGGCCACATGTATCTTTCCCATTTCAACAGCCGCAATTAACGCATAATTTGTAGCCAAGGCATCGTCACTTGGCTCGATAGCCTCATTTGCTTGATATGCAAAAGAGATGGATAAAAACTGAAAGAGAGCAACCGCGAAAAGCAGAATGTGATGGAAGCAGAGAAAGGAGGATTTGGTAGTAGGTATTAGGAGCGTCGCACTAATTAAAGTCAACACTTGTTACTATGACCTCATTACACGCAAATCTGCAGGCAGGCAGGCTACTATCGTTTGAATTACCAAACAGGCTGCGTGACTTGAGGGGTGGCAGTGGTGTACGGTGCAGGGCGGCTTCGGGGTGGCAAGTGGCACCTGGTGATTTTCTTCGGTTTTGTGGGGCTGTTTGGACTCACTTTGTCTTTGTACACCCGATACTTTTTCAAGTTCATTAGGGTAATGAAGCAACCACAGCCCCCTTGGACCTGAGACCCGGGCCTCAAATAACACTAGAAGTAAGCATGAAAAATATGCAACGAGCTGTGGCAAATACTAGGACTAGTAGTGGAAAAATGGCGGAAAAACAAAGTTGAGTGTACTTTACTTTATGGACGCCCATAACTATGTGCCTCGTTGCTGTTGCTGTTGCTGTCGCTGTCGCTGTTGCTACTGCTGTTCTTGTTTTTTGTTATTTTACTTTTGCTTTTTGCATAATGAATGGACATAAACACGGCACAAAGTTTTTCACAGTTTTGTGTAGAGGCGCACATGGCCTTCATTCTACTCAAACACACAGTGTCTGGGGCGATTCGCATTAAAGTTTTGCCTAACAGCTGTTCTCGTTTATTCTATTGACCATCGGCTCAATTTTCATTTAGTTTAATGCTCCACCTGTCATGAATATCCGACAATTTTGAGCCAATTAACTTAATTAATATTAAACTTGTTGGCTTGGTTGACGATCTTTGTCTTGAGAGAATTTTATATTAAAATTTGTGTAAATTTAAGTTCATTTAAATTTTGTAATTTTTTTTTATTATATTTCATACATTTTTTTTATTTATGTTTAGTACAAAACCTGGCAACGTTTTGCGGCATTTAAATTTAAACGTACATAAATAATTCAGGGTATTCACTAACGTTCAATTCCATCATGCAAACTAAGCTGGAAAATTGCATTTGCCACTTGTTGTTGGTTGCCTGCCCGTTGACCGATTGATGGCTGAAAATAATATTTGCAAATTTCGCATTGCTTTAAATGTGCATATTTATGAGGCAGTAGCAAAACCAAAATGGTCTGGCAGCCATAGCGTCAGACTGACAGCATATTAAGTATGGCGAAAACAATTTTATATTTCGAATTCGACTGGCACAACGAATGCGGAAAAATACAACAGGAAGCAGCAAGGACAAATCTTGTTGTTGCTGCTGTTGCTGTTGTTGCGGTTGTCTGCATCATTGCATCAAATTTTGTGCGCATTTGTCATTTAAGCTGGTTGTGCATTAAAATGTGCTTTATTTATAATTTTGATTGTTTTTAGTTGTAGTCAAGCAAAATGACTCAAAATAAATACATATTCAATATAATGTCACTGCCGAAAACTAACTATGCGAAATGATTGTAATAATTGCTTGCATTGCATAGAAATTAACTTTATAGCCTTGATTTGTGCTCGGTCCGTTTGCCAATTAGCCCGAAGAAATTAAATATAAATAAGAAGCACCAACACGCTTGACCCGTCTGGCACCTTGAAAGCAAACAGTCTGAGCCCAATTCACATTCGGCAGCTGCTTGAGAAAACTGGCTGCTTGCAAGCATTAAATATAAATTAGGCCAAGACAGGAGAAAGGTCAAAGACAAAAGGCAAAGGCAAAAAGAACAATAACAGCAACAACTAAAGTTGAGTATAAAAAAAAACCTTGCATGCAAATGGCCTTTGTTATTTCTGTGCTTTTGACAGCCAAAAGGATAATAATATTGATTGCGGGATAGGTGTAGGTGAGTTCTGTTTACGGTTTTGTTTGTTTGTCGGTCAAGTTGCCAGGACAACGGCATTGAAACGTGCCCTTTGTCTTTACTTACCCTCTGTGTGTGTGTGTGTGTGTGTCTACGCGTGTATTTGTGTTTGTGTGCCTCTTCTAATGGCATTTTAATTGAAGCAGAAAATTCAATGAATAAACAAGGAGATAGTTTCCCAGAGAGCAAGAGTTTTTGGCCCTGGCAAAAGTTCACCATGCGGAAAAGGAAATTTTCTAATTGATTTCAACTTTTGCGTCATTATGAATATGGAATATATAAAAGTTTGTCTTGCATGCGGCTGTTTAAATGACTCAATAAGTACGTAACTAAGTTTATTTAAATTAATGGGTAAACTTGTCATTTTCTTTATTTTGCATATTTTTGCTTAGCTTCAAATTGTGTACATGACATTACTTAGTCATTAAATATTAAAATTAAATGCTCAACTCAACTTTGACTTAAATGATAAAAGACCTAATTCGCTCTGTTTGGCAGAAGCTATTCAAATTCTACAATCTTAACAAGATTATTGCACTTGAAGATACGCTGTTAAGTTTTCGAATATGCTGTAAATAAATATATTCAGTGGAACTCTTATTCATACTTCAGTATACTTCTGATTCAGACTACTCAAAATTCTTGGTACAGATTGCAAAAGCGGTCGCTTGACATTTGCTATACCCTTCAAAATTTTGGTATTAGTCAGTATTGATTGTATTTTAATTAGTCAGCACACATGACTGCAACTAGTCCGCTTATCACAGGACACATGCACGACTTACAGCGTCCATTGGTTTTGTAGTTGTATATTCAGTTGGAAATAGATGTGGTTGAGCTTGTAAACTTGCTGCTTGTGGCTGGGAAACACACGTGTCGGGCGATTGCATCGGTGGCCAACCACACAGACAGCTCATTACTTTAAAGACTAGATCCAATTTATGTCTCATTGCATGCCTTGGTTAGTTATACAGCTCATTATGCTTGTGGGTGGCTGCCGATGAATCTTGGCTAACAACCAGCTAGTTGTATTCTAAATTTAAGGATGTCTGGCTGTCAATAGCTTGGCCTTAACTGGTAACTGCAACTTGACTACGTTTAACAGCCAAATTATTGTGGCATTTGTAATTAAAGTTGCGGGTGACATTTTTACCAAACCAGACAAACAACCTGAGTTCAAGCTGCGTGACTGCTGCCCTTTTGGAGGCAAGTGGGTGCAATAAGTTATGAGTGGTGGGTGTAGGTGGTTATGCCTACCAAAAATTGCTTTGCCATCGTAGTTTAGTGGTCAGTGAAATGCTGGCTGCTTTGAGCAGGGCCGCTTTTAATTTAAAATGTACGTGACTTGTTTTAATTAGGAACAGCCAAAAAAAAAAAAAATTTATGGATATTTTTTGTGGTACTTTTCGCTGTGGTCTAGGATGCCATATAAATGTTGCATGCTCCACAGTTTGCCTATGTTTTTTTTTATATGGTACTTTATGGACAAATTTCGTCAACTTTAATGTTTGTCAAATAAATAGGCTTACTGGGAAAATTGTGCAAATGGCGCTCCTTAAAAAGGAATTACTAGATAATTGTAATTTTAATAATAAAAAAGAACTATAGCATGGTAGTAATTTGTTTTTACTGTTTAAAAATTATACTATTCATTAAGCACCATGCATATTAAAGATGAAAAAGCTCATGGAAATGTTTGCTTATGTTAAGCAAATGAGGTTATATAGCCAATTAAAAAGGAATTTAAAGTCAAGGGTAATTTTAATAGACAAACTTTGATATGATAGTTTTTTCTTTTAACGATCCTCTTTAATACTTTTCATTTACCAGCAAACAGATTAAATAAAGATCACAAAGCAATTGAAAATTTTTCGTTATGTTAATCTCATAAAAATATTTCATCACTTAAGCTATAAGATTTTAAAATATCCATTCAGCTCAATTTGCGGTTAAGATGTTGTACACTTTTATGTTTATAACGTGTGCATAAGCGGGGACTTAGCAAAACAGTAACAAAAAACCAAAACAACACATGTAAAAGGCAAAGCTGAGTAGCTTTTTGTTAGCGAAAAATCGACTTATTATATTCACAAATTTGCAAGTGCTTTGCACAAGTTTACCGATAAAACGGCAAAACAACCGCAGCCACAACAACAACAACAAAAAGTGGGTCAGCAACAGCAGCAACAACTGCAATGAGTTTGTACTTGGCCAGCTGTCGATAAAAAGACGAAGAAACTTGTTAAATAAGACTTCTAAATTCATTTGCTTGAAACGCAACTTAACACCAGGCAACAACCCACCAAAGCGCATAAAAACTTGTGCCAAAAAACGACGACCATGAACAACTTCATCAAACGACTGCGGCTGGTAGTTGTTACTGTTGTTGTAGTTGTTGTGGTTGTAGTTTTTGTTGATATTCCTGATATTCTTGTAGATGCCCAGAATGTTTTTCGGCAAGCATGATGATGAAAATAGTACAACTACAGCACAAATCTTGTACAAGCTGCAGAAGCAGCTTAAATAAACAGCACAGCTGCCAGCATCAGCCCCTTTGCAACACTTTCCCCTATTGTGTTTTTGGTAGTTGTTTCGGTTTCGGGGTTCATTCTGCTATGTGCGAGTACTTTCATTAAATAGTATATGCATTGTGTATGCTCCCTGAGCCTTGTGCTTTGCATATTTCAACTGTTTATAACGCCCAGCCATCCACCATCCACCATCCACCACCCACTTGGCGCCTGAAGACACTGTTGTTTGTCTAGCAGCACATTGTGATAAGAAACTTTTTGAAACACAAAAACTAGTTTTGTGCTGTCATCTTATGTTCTTAACGCTTCGTCATTTTCTTCACGCTGAAAGGCATTAAATACTTTTTGGTAGCCCCAAGTCATTTTGGTAACTGACAACTCTGAATTTAAATCAATATTTTAGTATTTTTGGAATTAACTTATGTTTCTTCTAAAGCATTTCACATCGCACATAGTTTATATACATTTACAGGGCATCTGTTAGTCAAGTTATTTTTTTTACGGTAATATTATTTTCTTTCTGGAAACGGTCAATTAATATTCTGTTAATATGAATTCATTTAAAATATGTATGCACAAAATGCTGTTGTATGTTGCAAGCTGATTTGAATATTGAAAAAGACTGCAAAAGTCTTGACTCGAAATATTTTGCAGTTGCATGTTTTTTATTCTTCTTCTTGTGCTGGTGTTGCTGGTGTTGCTGGTGTTGCTGGTGTTGCTGGTGTTGCTGCTGCTTCTTCTTTTTGTTTTTTGATTGCCCATTGGGGCTGTCATTTGCTTCATTGTCAATTGTCTTCATTTTGTCTGTTTTTCTCACTCTGTCAGCCACTGGACTGGCTTTTATGACTTTTACCCGCAACACTTTTATTGCCCCAGACGCGAACTCTGTGTCCCCGCCGTCCCTCCCCAAAAAGGAATAAAGGACTAGAAATGTACAGACAAGGAACAATGGCCGTCGAGTGTTTTTACAACTTAATTTGCTGTTGGTGTCGAGAAACTGTAGAATGCTTTTAGGTGTGGCTTGCTTGACTTTTCTCTATAGCTATTGTTGTTATTATTATTTTTGTTGTTTTTAAGTTACTTAATTGCTATGTGTACTAAAGTGGACAGTCGCAGTGCATTGAATTAATTTGTGCATATTACAACGATTATTAAAAATAACTAACGCGAGTTCGTAGACCAATTAAAAGGCATTAGTGAAAGAGAATAAACAGAAAAACAAAGGCACTCACACACATACCAACAAAGAAAGAAAGCCATTTCCCAGCGCTATTGCTGTCTGTC